AGGTGGGATGAAGGCAGGTAGGATTATTGATCCCTATTCAAGGACTATCATTTGGGAATATCTCACCTACCTGTGTACCACCTTTTGAGGCCTCCGATTGGGGTTTTGGGGTTGGGGGTTTTGGGCTTAGGGTTTCGGGGTCGCAGTTTGGGCTTGGGGTTTGGGAAGTTCTGCAAAAGAAAGTCTGGTACTGCATCTTAAGCCCTATGAAACTTACACCCTGACTAAACACACCTAATATCCGCAAATATTTCACCAACCCCACCCTCACAATATACCTATACCCCTAAACCCTAAACCCTAAACCCTAAACCCTAAACCCCTAAACCCTAAACCCTAAACCCCTAAACCCTAAACCCTAAACCCAATCTTTGGAAAATGCAAGGTGGCTTCCCCCAAGTCCAGAGTCTCTAAGTGCTGGACTTCCGACAACCCCTGAGCCCTACCCGAAACCCTAAACCCGAAACCCTAAACCCTAAACCCAAGCCCCAAACCCTAAAAAACCCTACCTAAACCCTGAACCCTAAACCCTAAACCCTAAACCCCTAAACCCTACCTAAACCCTAAACCCTGAACCCTAAACGCTGAACCCCAAACTTCTAAACCCTAAACCCAAGCCCTAAACCCGAAACGAGGTACTACCAGCAGATTGATTTGATCACCGAGACGCTGCAAAAGGAGCTGCAGACCAAGGCCGGGGTTCAAGAATTTGATTACCGAGACGTTGAGGTGATTATGGGATTTAGGGTTTAGGGTTTAGGATTTAGGATTTAAAGTTTAGGGTTTAGGATTTAGGGTTTAGGGGTTTAGGGGTTTAGGGTTTTGGGTTTTGGGTTTTGGGTTTTGGGTTTAGGGTTTAGGGTTTGGGATTTAGGGGTGTAGACCCTTCCAAGCTCTTGATGAGGGTTTCCCGAGATTCGTTTTCTTGGTGATCGGGTCCTAATCCTATGGTAGGTTGGCCAAGAGCTGCAATACAGAATATACTATACTGTACTGTGTTACACAAAACTATACCATACTATACTGTACTACATGTCTGGGGATGCGGGAGTCGTGGTTCAGAAACAGGGTTTAGGGTTTAGGGTATTGGGTTTATGGTTTGGGTACTTTTCTGAATCAGGGTCCCCGTTTAATTTTCGTGTCCCCAATATAGCACGGCACCCTTATAAAAAGGACCCCAAAGCGGACCCGAATTTAGAGAAGCCCTGCCAACCCAGAACCCTAACCCTAGCCCACCACCCTAAGCGGTTTACGGTTTAGGGTTCCAAGTCCGAACAACGTTTACTTTGACCGGCAAAACTCGACGCAAGCCTCTAAATATAAGTCCTGAGACCCTAAACCCTAAACCCTAAACCCTAAACCCTAAACCCTAAACCCTAAACCCTAAACCCTAAACCCTAGAAGCCCTACACCCCATGAAGCCCTGAACCCTTAAGCATCAACCCCAAGCTCTAAACCTTCTACAGCCGGAGAAAGGCTTTAGGACAAGGGTTTAGGGTTTAGGGTTTAGGGTTTAGGGTTTAGGGTTTAGGGTTTAGGGTCTAAAACAGGTTTCCGAAGCCCTCGACCCCCAAATCCCACAACTCTCAAACCTAAACCCTAAACCTTATCTCTCAAACCTAAACCTTACAAACCTTCGAACTTAGAAACCCCAAAAAAAGCATCGAACGAACCCTAAACCGTAAGCCCTGAACCTTAAAACCGTAGAACTTAGAAACCCCAACAAAAAGCATCGAACGTTATTCCAGGAAGAGTTGGCTTCGGAGCTGCGGGATGCCTACGACAAGATGCGGCAGCAGTCCAAGGCGGGGAAGACATCTTTGCGCCGGTTTAGGGTTTACGGGTTTAGGGTTTGTGGTTTAACATAGGGGTCTTCATAATTGAAATAGGGCTTGGGGTATAATAATTGAGGAACCCCCCAAAACCCTATTCTAATTATTAAGGCCCCTACATTAGGGGGGTCCTTCTGCACGTTGTCCTGCAAGTGCTCCTTGACTAAACCTCAAACCACCTAAGATAACTCTTAACCGTTGAACCTTCACCGAAGCCCCTATTATTGTTACCCGTGCACTTTTACCCTTGACCGCAAAACCCTGAACCCTTGAATGTCAAACCTAAGCGCTAAATCCTCAAGCTTAAACCCTCAAGCCTAAACCCTAAACCCTCAAGCCTAAACCCTAAACCCTAAAGCCTTGAACCTAAACCCTAAAGCCTTGAACCTAAACCCTAAAGCCTTGAACTTAAACCCTAAAGCCTTGAACTTAACCTAAACCCTATAGCTACCCAAAACTCCCAACCCTAAAGCCGTGAGCCTGATAACCTCGACCCTCAGCCCTAGTCCCTTAAGGGTTTAGGGTTTAGGGTTTAGGGTTGAGGGTTTAGGGTTTAGGGTTTAGGGTTTAGGGTTTAGGGAACAGAGGGGCCTAAAGAATTACCAATGCTATTTGTTTGGGGGCGGGGGGGGGTGACTTCTTCTAAATATAGTATAATATACCCGCCAAAACCCTGTTCTAATCAATTAGTGCCCCCCCTACATTAGCCCCCTAAACCCTAGACCCTAAAC